TTTATTTATTCATTTAGCTAAGAGACAGGGTTTCTTTCACCAAGGCTGTGTTACTGAAAGCTCAGCACTTGTCCTTGAGGCCACATCAGAAGAATGAGAACAAGGGTTTTGAGAAGGAAAGAGAAGTTTATTACTTTGCTGGAAAAGAAGAAAAAATGGTAGATCCTGTCTCAAAATCCAAATTTCCTCCTTAATTGAAATGTTTTTTATTTCTATTTAAATGCATAACTAACATATTGCCTCTTAATTGACACAGTGAAAAACATTGTCTTAACACTACTATACTCTTTAACCTCACATTGATAATTCATTAGCCTAGGATTTAGTATCCTATTTAAAGTATTATGTTAGTGTTCTTGCAATCTAAGCTGCCAGGAATTAGGGGAGATGACTCAGATAAGCAGAAAGCAGTTATGGGAAGGGATTGATTAAGCATGTTATTCATTCAGCAAATATTTATGTACCTATTAAGGGCTAGGCAGTGTTCTGTACTTTGGAAATAACAATGAAACAAAATAAAAATCCCTTCACTACCTCTGATGAACTTACATTCTGTTGAGAGAGACAGATAATAAACAATAAGCTTAATATATAAGTAAATTATATCATGTTTGCTACATAGTATCTTGGATTTTTTTTTTGCTTGGCATGTTAATACATCAGGATAATGTGGGCCTGGAGTGCTGGGAGTGGGGACAAGGAGGGAGAGCAGTTCGCAATGTTACTATTAACAATCTCTCAGTGATTAATTATGGTTTCTCTGCTGTTGGTTTGGAAATAAGTTGTAAATTAGTGGTGGCCATTCATACTAACTTCCTCAGTTTAAATATGTCATCTGGAACCTTGATGATGCCAAAAGTTCACTGATTTGTATTTTGATATGGCATATAGTATATAATGCATATGAGTGATTGCTGGTTTTATAAAAGATAAAAGTGAAAATATTAAAATCAGAATTAAAATCAAAATATTAAAATCAGTAAGGATAGATTGTAATCCGTATATGAATGATCAGATTGTATAATGAGGTGCTAATGAAATAAACTTGGAAATTATTTTTTTAAGTCAATTGCCAAACTGTTTTCCTAATTCTAGTTTTTACTAATTCTGATACCTTCCATTAACTTATTCCACAGATTGAGTATTGCCCGGTTCTTTTTTATTATATTTAGCCACATAAATTCAGTGAGAAGCAACATAGTATTGGAAAAGTCTGTGCCTGGGCTCTGAAGACAAACTTGGGTTCACATCCAAACTCAGCAATTCATTATCCGTATAACCTGATGTAATTTTAGAAACATTATACAGTCACTCAGAACGTCATTTCCTCATTTGTAAAAGAAGGCTAGTATCTATCTGATGTGGTTACATGAGAAATAGAAATCGTTTGTGTAAACTACCTAGCACAATGCCTGGCATGTTACAAAGGCATATGTAAGAAGTTACTGTTACTTTTATTCTATAAGTATTATCAAGTATTAGAAAATTCCAAAAGTTCAAAAGTATATTACTACCTCCAGAAAGTCAAATGTATTTTACAGATAAGGATTTTTTAAACCTTACACTAGCCATCCATTAGATAGGATTGATTAAAAGGGCTTTTAGTTATGTGTCTCCTCATAAGAAACTTGTAAAGTTTTCAGTATAAGCATTTAGCATCACTCCAGAGTTGACCTGTGTTGTCACAGGCAATCCTGTCACTGTGCTAGGGCTAGAATTTTTATCTTAGCAATAGTTTGGCTTTGGAGGGAATGAGGGAGATCCACGGACACTAGAGGAATAGAGAGAAAGGGTTCTTGCTGGGGCAACTTGATTCACTTAGAAAATGGTGTTTTTCATTACAGCTGTTTTCTTTCCACCTGATCTTCCTTCTTGCCAGATGCAGCTAAGGAGATAATACAATAGAAAAAGCAACTGAGATAGTTATAAATCTTAAAATTCACTTTATTGATTTTATTTTAATCTAGAGTCACGCTTAATTATCAGTTTTTAAATAACTAAAAGTAGTTTTGTTCATCACGATTATATATATGGCCTACTGGTCTTATTTTGTATGAGAAGGCAGAGCCAGTAAGGTTCTCACTGATTTGCCCTTAGAACAGAGCAGGATTTAGAATTGAGGATTCTGATTCCTGTTTGGGTCTGTTCTTTGCCATTTAATTAAGCTTGTTACAGATGAGTTGGCCCATTGTTGGCATATATTGTAATATATAAAATAAATGCCAGTGTCTGCTATGTCATTATAGTATGGATTCCTTTTGGTTAAATCATGGCACTGTTTTCATTAATCTTATTCCAATCTGGTTGGTCTCTTCTTAGCAGTGTTTTAATGAGATTTTATTATACTTTAAAATTTAAACATTATATTAGCTATTTAATGGATGATACATGCTATTCTCTTCTATAATTAGTTGGTTAACTGTTTTCACTTGAGCAGTTTAAAAAGGAACTACCACTTCCAAGTGTGTGGGGTGTTGCTTTCATTACAATTCCCTGATGTCTGTGTATGTGTCATTAAACCTGAGTTAATGTAGGCGTGATTATAGGGACCTGACTTCTAAGAGGCAGGGGAGTCCTTTAATGAGAAGCCTGTGTACATTAGTTTAAGGTATGAGATTATTTTACTAAAACCTTTGTTTTGTAAATTTCATACTTGTATATAGTATAAGTAGTGGTTTTTGAATTTTAGTCATAATCCTCTTCTTGAGACAATTTCACATTGAAATTTGAAATAGAGTAGATAATGAGAAGCTCCTGTGACATATCCACTGGCCCATCAAGCCTGAAGAGTGTCATGGAGCACAATTTAAAAACACTGACCTACGTTACTACAGGTTGGTCTTGTTTTTGTTCTTGATTTTGTGTTGAGTCTTATAGTGTGGGAACCTGCCTCCTATGATTAGATTCTCACATAGATCTGTTGTGAGTTGAGAGAGAATGGTCATTTATTGTTATTTCATGCCAACTCACTAGGATCTGCTAGTAGGACTTCCCAATCAGAATTTAAAACTCCCAGTCCATTTACATTAGCGAATTTGTCATGTATTTATATATGGCTAAAACTCTAGTTTCTGATTACATTCATTGTAAAATATTAGAGTGCTTATTCAACTCATTTAAATAAAAGTTGATTGCAGTTTTATCTCTAAAGACTTTTTTTATTCCGCTTGTGATTTTTGGGTCCTGCCTGCCTCAATTTACTTTGCATGGAATATTTATACAACTCTAGTTTCTAGTAGAGGTTTGTCTTCAAAAAAAAAAAAAAAGATATGTTATTTACATTTTTATCTCACAGCACTATAAAATTCTTCTGAAATTATTTTTGGTTGGCTAACTCTAGCCAACACACACACTTTAGACCAATTCCCAGTGACTTATAGGTAATATTTTATTAGAAAATATATTCTTGGTCTTCAGGAGCTCAAGAACGAATAGTTTAGCTCAGTATCTACAGTGAAAAAACATAATCTGCACCTTATAGGAGGAAGGGGAAGAAGTCATACACATATTTTCATTCTTGTTATTTATTTTTTTGAGCTTATGATGTCTTGCGTTGGTGAGTGGTTGAAAAGTTTGGGTAACTGGGGGCAGGACAAAGGGAATTTCAATCTTGAACACCTAGGGTGATTTTTATTTGCAATGGAATAATAAGTAAAAAACAGCTCAGTCTTTTTCTTGGTGCATAGTAGATCCTTTCTTGCCTTGAATCTACTTTTGAACAAGGAAGAAGATGGGTACCTGAATGGATGTGCAAGAGTATATGGGTGTTAGATACTGTTTTTCTGTTGGAGAATGGCTAGGACATTGACTTGGAAGTATAAAAATATTTGATGTGCAGAATTATTTCATATAAAAGAAAATGCTATCATTACAAGCTCTGGTAAAAAATTTTGAATAGAATCTAAACTTTTCTTTGTATCAGTTCCTTTTGGTTTTGAAATTTGGATTTTGATATTTTGTTCTCTCTTTTTTTTTTTTTTGTAAGAATAGTAGAAAATGTAGATATAGTTCCTTTGTGCTTTAGATAAGCCAGGAAATTAGTAAATGTTAAGAATTTATCCCTGGGAGACTTTTAAAAAGAAGATCTTTAAAAAATATAGTTTAGATAATGTTTCTATCCATGTATCTGTAGCTAGTTAAATGAATAAGCAGGGATAATCAGGAGTATACACCTGATAGTGATTTGGGCCTCAGATTATAAGGATTTTTTTGTTTAACATTACTGTAGTACATTGAACTTTAATTCCTTTTACTGAGTATCTCTGAGGATATCTGATTTGAGACCTGCAGTATTTAAACTGGCTGTCTAATTTTGTAACAATCTCCATCTCCTCTTATTCTTATATAAGCCTAAGAATTCTGCTGGGCCACATGGCTCTTGTTGGAAGTTGGGCAAGGTCTTACAACCTTGTGTATGATCAGTGTTGACCATAGAGAGCACCTGTAGAGTCTGCATCTCCCCAGCATGCTGTCTTATGGGTGAAGTGAGCATGATAATAATAGAGCATTTTTCCTGTTCATTACACTTTGCTTTTACCTGAGATGTGCAGTAGCTCACTGGGTGTAGTTTCACTCTCTCCTTATACCTTAGTTATAACTATCAAAGATGAAAAGAATGGAAAGCTAAGGTTAAGATTCTACTTAAGGTATTAAGTACCTGTATTTCTTTAAAGGGTAAGGGTAACCAGGTGAGTTAATACTATAAGAAGAGAAAGATCCATAGTTAGGCAATTGAGACCAAGTGTTAAAAAAGAGTTTGATAAAGAATAAAGTAATAAATGATCTAATTTTAGAATTTTGATTGTAGTATTTAAATGTAACCTGTAATTTTGATAAAACATTAAACTGATAATCCATTTGGGTAAATGAAAATTGAAATGTTTTGTGACTAGTATAGTATGTTCTTTACTATCATAATTTAGTAGTTATAGTATTTGGATATAGTTTAAGGTACTTTAGGTAAACTTATTAAATACTTATTGATATAATTACATAAAGGGCATAGTATGTACCATCATATAGTTCCATTTTTAGAGTATATATTATCAGTACGTTTTCCTGTGTTCACAGTTGTTGACTCAGTATTTTTAATTGCCTTCTGTAAGCCAATTCAGTCGTTTCTTACATGGTTATTTTTTAAAGATGTTTTGTGGCGTGCCATTTAAGAAATTAAAAATGTCAAAACTCTTGGATTTATGAGACAATAGGAAAAGGATTTTTAGTTTGTTATTTATTAATTAATTTTTTTCCTAAATAATTAAGCGATGACTTCCTTAGTATATATTTTAGGTTTAAAAACCAGAAATATTTTTGAAATATTTCCTAATACTTAAGGAGCCTGTTTTAAAATTTAGATGTTAGCATAAGCATATTAGTTGGTTATTTTTAAATTTGAAGTGAAAATGATATTTTTAAAGATACAGAAGATAACTCAATTTATTAGAAAGTAAAAATCAGTTTAAGACAGCTTAAATTAGTTTTAGTTTTTAAGTAAAAAAGGAAATAGATGTCTGGGAGTTTCAGCTAAAGTGCCAGTACTGTCTAGTACCACATTCGTGATATTCCCCTAAATATTAGTGGTCATGTTTGATATGTAGTGCACATTTGGTATAGGATGTATGGGGTAGCTTCTGTGCTCTTAGAATTCATAGCTTCAAATGGCCTTATCTCTTATCATTCTTATACATATAAAAATAGTACAAATTATTTATTACTCTTAAAGTTGAGGTTTTTATCTTACAGTTTTTCACATTTAGTAGACCAGTCATGAATTGTGGAAATTGAGAATCCTCATTCAGTTTACTTATCCTGGAAAAGCTTAAGATCAAATTTGTAAGATGAAATTTGATAAAGTCTTAGTGATTCTGTTAACAGTTAACAGGGGATAGCAGTAAATATTCAAGTCATGAGGGTTAGAATATTGACTAGTTCAGCTCTGTGCTTGCAGTTTTTCTCACCCCACTCTAAGATAACATTGTATTAGGAACACTAAAACAACAAGAAGGAATAAACAGTGGCCTGTTGTTGGTGAAATACTTTTGTCTTTAAGAGCACTGATTTTTCATGAGGCTCATTTTCATCAAGTATTGAACTCTAAATTGTTGCTTTTTTCTTTCAGCATCAAAGCTGGACGACTCCTTTCCTGCATTCCATATCAGCTGTACACTAAGCAGTCCAATGTGCAGAAAGGTCTCAACTTTAATCCTGTATGCAGACCTGAGGATCCGGTGCCAGGTCCAAGCAATATAGCCAAACAGTTCAACAACAGGGTGTAAGTTTGTCTAGTTTGGGAATACTACAAAGCTGGTTTTTAGCAGTGAGTACGGCCCATTCTCTGCTGAAGACATATTTTTATGATGAAAGTTTCATAAACAAAATGAAACAAGTTTTTCCAGTCATACTAGATTCTCATTTTATACTAATGGATCTTAAATTATTAGATTTTTTTCATGGATTTTCGTGAAAGTAATTATTTCCCCACAAGTAATTTTTTATAGAATGTTGCTTTCTCAAAAACTGAACTAACTACACAAGCTATACTTTTGTTGTGTGCCATGTATAGACAATTCAAGAAAATGTTAACATTTCTAGGTTATTTTTGAAAAATTCAAAATTCATAACTATAGTTCTAAATTTGTAAATATTTTATTTCAGGGAAGCGTAGTTGGTGAGCCTTGGTTGTAGAATTGGCAATGAGTCTAGACTTTATTTCATGTGGCTGATTTTTAAAAAATATATTGATTTAAGTTTTAATTGTGATAATCATAGGTAAATTGGCTTCACAATTAATTGGTGTGTTGCCTTAACTTGTATATCAGGTGGTTCATTATCATTAGCCTTCTCCTTATTTATTAAATTGCTTGCTCTGGGAATTGGATATATTTTTTCCAGAAGACCAAGAGTCTAATTAACCTGGGAGGATCCGATATCACTACTTTCTGTAATTTTTGTTGTTGTCATTTGTTATTTAACTTTTACTCATTTATAAGCATATTCAGGGGTTTTTTATGTTACTTAAAACTTTTAATTTTTTTAATGTAATGTCAAGGTGTACAAAATATAATATCAGAAAACCTTTTCACAGAATACATAGCTTTATCTTTTCTTTTTCTTACCCTCACTAATAAATATGCTTTCTAAAATTCTTCTTTGTGACAATTTTAGGAAAAATATACCTATTAGATTTTACTTTTTTTAATATATTTATGGCATTGCCTAATAAATGTATATCTACTAGTGATATTTCTGGTATATTTAATAGCTACTTTGCAAATGTCCATTTGTCTAGGCTGAGAAACTATAGTACAAAAAGAATGTATATTGACAATTTATTTTCTTGCCAGTATATGCATTTCTGTTGCATGTGTTGCTGTTATGCATGTAAAGAATCTTAATGTTTTTGGCAAAGAAAACAAGATGTAAGACTTTTCTGACTTATATCACTTTGGTTTTCTGAGATTTTTTTTTTTTTGTTATGTTCAGTACATTTGGTACATTTCTTTGAAATGTTCTTATATAATTTTTTGTTCCCTTGCTTTCTCTTTATCTCAAGGAGCAGACTTTCTTTGACAAATTAGGTTTTCTTTTTTTCTTCTTTTAACCATTTCCAGTTTGTCCTCTTTTTCCCTTTCACTGGTGTGATCATATGTGAGGATTGGATCTACTCAGAGTTGCCTGTCATGTTCCATGTGATGGTTTGCCAGAGCCCAAGCCAACCCAGAAATGGGTGGTAATGTTTAGCTTCTTGACTCGTGTGACTCTTTTATGTAGTCAGACTGTAATTACTAATAAACCAAGTTGTTATTAGAATGAGGGACTTTAGACAAAACTTGGTAATTTCACCTGTACCCTGGTGCTATGTATGGCATCCTTCATCGTGTGCCTTAGCTGTAATTGGATTGATGGCTGTGGACGTTTCCAAGTAGAACGAATTACTGCTCTGTAATTCAGGGTTTTGTTTTTGTTACTTAGATGATTCTTATTAATGCAAATTTTGTCTTTATTACAAAGTGTTACTAAACAAACATCTAGAGGAGCCAGGGTGTGAATATAGCATGATATTTGTTACAGGTCTTGCATTTATAATCCTGTCATCGGGAAACTTGGTCCAGATTGCCTTGGACCACTCTGGCATCTAAATATGCTTTTCTTAGAAATGAAATGTCATTGCCCTTGTCAATAGGGCAAGTCCTCATTTTTCTCATTATAAATTTTATTGAATAACCCCCTCATGTTTCTAGATACAAATTTTACTGAATTACTCCCACATATTGACCTGGTTCTTACTTTTTATCTACTTCTGCAGCAGTCAGCTCCATTAATGGGTTAATCAATATAGTCTGAGTCTTTTTCCTGACTGAAACTAACTGGCCTCACAACTTTGATGCCATTGTAACAGTATTGGATTTAAAGTATTTTATAGTTTCCTACATAAAAACTAAAAATAAAACTAGGAATAGGAATTCAAATAAAGTTTTTAATCCATTTTTATCGAAGTTATTCGTGTTAATTCAGCAAATATTTTTTGACTGTGTAGTAAATGCCAAGCACTGTGCTTCAGAACTGGGCATTTAGAGCTTATAGATTCTAGTTAATTTTTTTGTGGGAAAAGCAATTGAAAATGGTTTTTTTGGTTTTTCTTCAACAATAAAGATTCCATTGTATTTCTTCTTTGCGACTATCTGAAATGAAAATTCTTTAAAAACCTAAAAGGCTGTTGTTCTAGAATTTTCCTAGTTGACTTGCTACTTTGTTTTAGTGAAGAATTATCTTTTGTCAGGATAGAAAATATAAAGTATGTGGTTTACTTTTTAGTTTTTAAAGAGGGAAATATCAGAATGTGTGCCACTAAGAAAATGTTTAAATGAAACAATTGTTTTAGCCTAAACATCAGACCTTATTAACTTAAATTTTTTTCCTACTTTAGAAATCACATAATTAAAAAGATTGAGACAGAAAATGAAGTCAAAGTCAATGGAATGAACAGTTGGAATGGAGAAGATGCAAATAATGATTTTAGTTTTGTGGATCTGGAACAGACCTCTCCAGGAAGGAAACAAAACGGAGTTCCGCATCCCAGAAGCAGCACTGCTATTTTTAATGGACACACTCGTAGCTCTAATGGTGCCTTAAAGACACAGGATTGCTTGGTGCCCATGGGCAGCAGTATTGCCAGCAGGCTTTCTCCAGACTCTGCTCAGGAGGAGGAGAAGGCTGAGAAGAGCAGCACTGACTTTAGAGACTGCACTCTGCAGCAGTTGCAGCAAAGCACCAGAAACACAGATGCTTTGTGGAATCCACACAGAACTAATTCTTTCTCATTATTGTCTTTGCACAGTAACACTAAAATCAATGGTGCTCACCACTCCACTGTTCAGGGGCCTTCAAGCACAAAAAGCACTTCCTCAGTACCTACTCCTAGCAAGGCAGTACCTTCAGTGCCATCCAGACCTTCAGACTGCAGTTTTATTTCAGACTTCTATGCTCATTCAAGACTACATCACATATCAATGTGGAAGTGTGAATTGACTGAGTTTGTCAATACCCTACAAAGACAAAGTAGTGGTATCTTTCCAGGAAGGGAAAAGTTAAAAAAAATGAAAACAGGCAGGTCTGCACTTGTTGTAACTGACACAGGTAGATACTAAAATTGTTTTCTTAAGAAACAGTCATGCTTGATCATTTTGTTCTTATGTTATTGGTATTCTGATCAATACTAAGTTCTTATAAGTCTCTAGGAATGTCAGGTTATGTAAATTACAGCAAGTATAATTATAGAAAACGTTCTTATTTATTAAAATATTTTTTAAACATTTATATTTAATTGTGGCTAACTGAAAATTTTCAGGTAATTTAAACAGTAACGTGATTGGGATTCTGAGCATTCATTCCTCATGTAGAATTTTATCAGTTGTTGAATTTTGAACTGTGTAAATATAACATATTCAGTGCTTAAACTCCTGTAAGAATGAAATTGGTTTGATAAGAGTAATTGTTAATTTCTAGAAGTTTGCATCATAATGATTTTTAAATAGTTTTGAGATATAGCATTAAAATGACAAAAATTACAGTGATAAACTTTTAGTAAGATTAAGTATTTTCACACCTAAGTAGATTGGTTAATTGTATTTTGATTATTAGTACTTTCTTTGTCATCAAAAACAAATGCATGCAACAATAGCAGGCTACATTTCTGTGCCAGTCATTATAAATTAGTATCTGGTTTGAGGTTTTAGTTGCTATTGCGGATTATAGGAGTTTTTTTAGGGGGAGAGATCTCAGAGGTTATCTAATATTACCCTTTTACTTATAGCAATGGAGGCTGAGGTACAGAAAGAAGCTTCTGGTTCTGTTCTAGAAAGTGAAAGAGTCTCTCCTTTTGGGTTTTTTTCTGTAGTATTTCATTGTGTTTGATGTATTCCTATGTGTTTTAGTCAAAAAATACTTTTGGTATTTGTGAAATATTTCAGAATAATTGGATTAACCTTACATTATATCTTGGCCTTGTAATCAGAAGGTCATTTGTTAGAATTGTGAATGCTTCAAAGAACTATTATGAATTAGTTTCATAAATGGGAATAAAATGAGAAATTTTGGTATTGTATGGAAGCATTTGGTAGATACTTGGTTTGTGCATTCTGTACTGCAATGTTTAAAACCCTTATTTTGAGTTGTTTATGTTTATAGAATACTTTTTAAAAATACGTTTATACAGCAGAATTGTGATTAATATTTATCTTATAAATCATTTCTTGAGGTAATATAGAAGGTAGCAAGAAAGTACTTGGCTTTGGAGTTAGGTAGCTTAGCCTGAATCCCAATGCTGGCTCTGCCACTCTCACTCAGCAGGACCCATGGGCAAGTTAGTGCACCTTTCTGAGCCTCAGTTTCCTCTTTGCAGAGGAGTGATACATAGTCAATGATGTTTCGCCTCATGGGGTTGTGAGCTTAAGAAAACATGAACAAAGGTTCAGTGCCTTGAACATTGCGAGAACTAGATAAATGCTATCATAGTCACAGTTTGGTAGATGGAGTGGTCTAAAACCTTTAGGGGGTAAGTCTAAGTTTTTAGAAGCCTATTATGAAGACTGTCCCTCAGTACTAATATTCTTAAACCTATCTGAGGAAAACTCCTCATGAAATCAGAACTTTTTACAGGCTTGGGGTTATTTCTTATGTATCTTGGAGGACTAGGGGAGAAGGCTAAGAATGAGATTGATAATAGAGGAAAGCTCTGGTTTTGTCTGTATTAGGGTTAAAGTAACCTTAATGAATCTGTGTAGCTCAGGTGATTAGAAGCCGTTGTCCATAGGAGAGGACACTCACCTTTATCTCCTTAAATGTGGCATATGTGCTTCAGAGCTGATTTTTAGTAATATTTGATGACATAAGGAGGAAAAATTCCTTTTGTATAAAGATTTTTGTTTTATGGACAATTTTTAAAATATATCTACTTAGAACAGCAGCATGGTAATCTGAAGATTCTGAAATCAGACTTCTTGGGATTGAATCACATGTCAGGCACTTAGTAATAGGCTGTGTGAGTTAAACAAGTTATTCTGCAAAATGGGGATAATATCTACCTCATAGTGTTGCGAGAATTTAAATAAATTAACATGTAAACTTTTTATGACAGTGTCTGACACCTACCAAGCACTGAATAATAGTAGCTAATTTTATTGTTATTTTGTCAAGGAATGTTTATAAACTGCATGGAGTAATGATCTTCAAAAGTTAGCTTCACATAACTAAACGTATGAAAATACCTTCATACAGTAGTAAAATAATCACAGAAATAATTTTAAGATAAGTTTTGATAAACTATTTTAATTGACAATTGTTAGAACATAGGCTAGGAAAACATGGTATCTTCACTATTTATTTATCTATCTATCATCTGTCTTTCTGTCTGTCTCATCTATCTAGCTGCCTTTCAATTTGACCAGGATTCCACAATTGCTTTAAAATTACGTTACGAAACTAAATTTGTATCTCTGAATTACTTTTAATGCTAAAGAAACTTAAATTTGGCTTCTGTTGAGGTAGTAGAAATAATCTAGTAGATTCTTTATTTTTTAAGACTCTATCCTACTTGTAAGCATCTTTTAAATATTTCTAAAATTAACTAGACCTAATTTTTTTAATGTTAAAAATTAGTTTGGGGTTTGAATACTCTCTTTTTCCTTCTAGGAAATATGTCAGTATTGAGTTCACCCAGACATCAGAGCTGTATAATGCATGTTGATATGGATTGCTTCTTTGTATCAGTGGGTATACGAAATAGACCAGATCTCAAAGGTCTGTATTCTTGTTTATGTTTTAAGAAAATTGATATATTGTTATAAATATATATTCAAAGAGGTCACAAAATCTTTTAAAAAAAATATTTATTCTGATTTTACTTGGGAAAATCTGCTTGCTTCTGAAATTTCTGTACTCCATTATCAAGAAAGGTCTAGGGGCCGGGCGCGGTGGCTCACGCCTGTAATCCTAGCACTCTGGGAGGCCGAGGCGGGCGGATTGTTTGAGCTCAGGAGTTCGAAACCAGCCTGAGCAAGAGCGAGACCCCGTCTCTACTAAAATTAGAAAGAAATTAATTGGACAACTAAAGATATATAGAAAAAACTAGCCGGGCATGGTGGTGCATGCCTGTAGTCCCAGCTACTTGGGAGGCTGAGGCAGAAGGATCACTGGAGCCCAGGAGTTTGAGGTTGCTGTGAGCTAGGCTGACGCCACGGCACTCACTCTAGCCCGGGCAAAAAGAGTTGAGACTCTGTCTCAAAAAAAAAAAAAAAAAAAAAAAAAGAAAGGTTTAGGGAAATTAGAAAATGTTTCCTTCTTCCTATAGAGATCAAGTCTTAAGGGGAGAATATTCATTTTCAGCTGAAGGATATGTTATCGATGACTAATATAGGCAGAGACCCATGTTGGGCAGTTTCTGTATTTTTATCTGTATTCTTACTTTGTTAATGGAATTTTATGGTACCCTATATATTTGAGACTTGGGTCACTGTATTTTCTTAGAGCAAAGAACTTAATTGTCCTGATGCAGGTGAACATCCTTCCTTTTTTATTGTAGGATAACTTTGCATTATTGAATAGTGCTAAAATATGTTGTCCCTCTTGGCAGTCTTTGTTTTAATGAAATTTCACATATTTGTGAGCTAGTCAATACTTTTTAAAATATTCTGGATTTTTCAGTAGTTATCTCTAGAGATAACTATTAGGATTTTCTTCTGAGAGTCAGTTCTTTCCTTAAGGGAAAAATAATTATGGCACAGAAGCTGCTGGGTTAAAACCAGAGCTTTATTTTATATGAGTGGTTGCTGTTCCAGCTCCAAAAGTTTTTAGAATGTTAAATAATTGATTTTCATAGAGGTACTTTATAATGCATTATTATTTTTTTTTTTTTGGTCCTCACAGCAAATACATTCAGTAAATATATATGATTATCTGTGCTATTGCTTTACAAGGTTATGGTTATCTTGTTACTTATCACACACACAAAAGGAAACAATACATGACAGTAACTGTATAGCTAAAGCAGAAACTGATGGGCTGTATATTCATGTTTGATCATCAGATTGTGATTCCTGTGCATGTATATTTAATTTTTCTTACTGTAGAATTGAAAAAATAAGTATAGATGTTAACCCTACTGTTATGATACCAGAAATATTAAAAAAAATATATATGTATATTTAATGTTTTTCTTTCTTTCCCCAAACCTCCAATCTGAATCTAGTATCTGAGTTCCCTGTTTTCTACTATAAGAAATAACACAAAACCATGGAAAGCTAAATGACAGTGCTACTTTTAGGTTGAATAAATGTATCAAAATTGTTACAAATAGTTTACTTTTTTGGAGGTGCTAAGAAACTTAGATGATGTTTGCATGGTGATTAATAATCTTAACTATGAGCTTCTTTAAAGATTAATGCCTAAGTAAAGCTAAAGAAAAAAATGTCATAATTTAAAAATCATTGGAAAAATTTTCCTTTACATGTTGTTAACATCCCTGTACTCAGATGTAGAAATAATTTAATCTTTTCCTCACAGGAAAACCAGTGGCAGTTACAAGTAACAGAGGCACAGGAAGGGCACCTTTCCGTCCTGGCACTAACCCCCTGCTGGAGTGGCAGTACTACCAGAACAAACTCCTAAAAGGCAGAGCAGGTACAGATGAGCTCCCTTTGAAGTCTTAGTGCTCCTGTGGACAACTGGATGGATTTTACTGTTGATGCTGCTGTCATAGAAATGAAAACAGAGTTGTAGTAATAATGAGCTTTTTCATTTAAGAGTTTTAAGGATATCTGTGATATCTTAAAGCAAAATCTGAATATAATAGAAATGACTGGTTTATAGTTACTCTTTGTTGAATTGGATGGTGATATTTTCCTGGAACAGGAAGTGAAGAATGTTTTAAAAGATGTGATTAATTTGCTTTGTATAAGATTAGATTGGAGATGAAAACTGTAGATATCATTTTATAGAAGCCTCTGCCTAACTTGAGAGTTAATTACTAGTCATCTGTTGTTATGTCACAGTAAGGACACTGAAGTTTGTGTTGCTCAAGATTTGTATGAGGAAGTGGAATAAGAAACAGAACTTTAATTTATTGGAGTAAGACTGTAAACACCAGTAATCATTTCCCATATCTTTTATTGAACCTATTTTATATGAGAAACAACATGTTTTTTCCTCTCTTGGCTTTTACATTTTGGATATCAATAAACAAAAATTGTAAGTTATACTAATCATACCACTTATTAAGATTTTTGTGTATCTATTACTTTTTTCCCCCGGTTAAATTTGCTGATAAATGTTTGCTTAGAAATTAATTAATTTTTTTTTTTTTTTTTTTTAGACAGAGTCTCACTCTGTTGCCCGGTCTAGAGTGCCGTGGCAACACAATATATTAATTTCTACTGTGTTTGAAATTTTTATAAATGGAATTGTATGGACTGTGCCTGAGTTCTTTTGTTTAAAATTTTTTTTTTTT